CTGACACTATAAACAAGAGTGTCAAATTGTTAATTCAACAACAGGAGTCACTGTGCACTTACTCCTCATGTAGGATCTCTGTCCTTAATGTGTTGTTCAATGTGAATTAATGCTATAACTAGTACTGAAACAGTATTTTGCACTTTATGTTCTCTGTGAGTGCAAACTGATGAAATCTTTACTTAATATATACTAAATCAAGCTTCTGTATATAAAGATAATTGAAAATGAATCTTGATGTGAATGGAATAGGAGAGGGAGTGGGAGATGGGAGGGGTGTGGGTGGGAGGGAAGTTATGGGAGGCAAAAGCCATTGTAATCCATAAACTGTACTTTGGAAATTTATATTTACTAAATAAAAGTTTAAAAAAAAAAGATAGGACACTTGAGAGCAGATAGGCAACTTAGTTAATTTTACTTTTACTGATTTGAGTGATTCATTTTAACAATGATGTTTTTTGTCTTACCTTTACTATAATATTTTAATTATGTCCTGAGTGCACTACCCATATTTACAGTTACTATAATTTTCTTCATTCATATTTCAAAGTCTCATATTACTTCTTTTATCCTTTCCTATGCAACATGTCTTCCCTTTCTTATACAAAGCATTTTCTCTGAAATTTCAATTTTATCATTCTGCACTTCAAGGTGAACTAAAAAACAGACTTGCACACATGGTAGACGAAATTTAACATTACCCTAATTCCATAGCATAGTTGGTTTAGAAGCCTCTTTCAGAATCCTGGACTACTTCCAGATTTTTTTTTTTTTTAAATTATCTTTCTTCTGAACACCACAGCTTAGTTCTCTCTAATGCAATGCTATTTCCAATAACATTTTGGCTGCTCTAAATATGAAATGAAAAGGATTGATTTGCTCAACTTTTACTCATAATAATTCCAGAAAGGAGAGGATTCTAGGACTCAAGTAAAAAGCAGCGACTGAAAACGTTGATCGCAAAAGATTCGATATTTCTCTCACTGATTCTGCCCCTCACCTCTTATTACTGCTCTACAAATACGCTCTGGACATTGAATCTTACAGGTTTGACTCTCTTTGGTTTCTTGGCTTAGGCTATTCTTCCTCATCTAAGCTTCACATTGAGAAAATCAACCACACTTCAGTTCCAATCTTAAATTATCGGTCCTCTGGGAAAACTTTTATATTCTTCCACCAACTGAAATGTTTCCTTCCTAAAAATCCACAGGGAAGTTTGTGCTGTCATGATTGAACTGGCTATTATGGCACAACATTGCATTGCTAATCTCCCCCATCCATACACACAAAATCAGTAGTTCTGCAGAAATAATCAATCATTTATCTGCTTTTCTCATCCCAAGAAGTCCAGGTATTCTCAGTGGAATCTATCTTACCACCCAGTATTTTTCCCATAAGGCTTCAGACAACCCTACACCCTATTATGACCCAACTTCTCATATCACTTTTATCCCCACCAGCAAACTTCCCTAAGACCTCCTAAGATTCAAAGTCCAACATCAGCAAAATCACCTCTTTCAGCTTCCCTCTTAATTTACATGAAATTGTGTGTTCCTTTCCTACACCCTTTATTTACAGAAGATACTCGCAGAGCTGTCATGAGTACTGGGTCACATATTTCAGAAAACTCTGAGCCTAGAGGAAGTTGGTAGCATTCTTGTATCTTTCAATCGCAGCTTGTACAGCATTATTCCGCATCCTTTGCCACTGATCCCAATTCTTCTACAGTACATGCCAACGGATAATCCCACTGCTATGCTATGGATGTGGTTTGTCCCCTGACTTTTCATGTGCTGGAAGCTTGTTTTCCAATTTAACTGTATTGAAAGTGTTGGATCTTTTTGGGAGGTTATTAGGTTACTATGGTATCTCCTTGGAAGGAGTTAAAGGCTTCTCAGATTATTAGTGTCTTCTCCTTGGAGGAGCTCAAGACTGCTGAGACTGGATTACTTTTTTTTTTTTTTTTTTTTTTTTGACTGGGAAGGTGGGGCAGTGAGAGAGAGAGACAGAGAGACAGAGAGAAAGGTCTTCCTTTGCCATTGGTTCACCCTCCAATGGCCACCGCGCTGTAGCCAGAGCACCGCGCTGATCCGATGGCAGGATCCAGGTACTTCTCCTGGTCTCCCATGGGGTGCAGGGCCCAAGCACTTGGGCCATCCTCCACTGCACTTCCTGGCCACAGCAGAGAGCTGGCCTGGAAGAGGGGCAACCGGGACAGAATCCGGCGCCCCGACCGAGACTAGAACCTGGTGTGCCGGTGCCGCAAGGCGGAGGATTAGCCAGGCCTGGGGCCTGGCTGTGACTCCTAAGGCCACCTCCAAAGCCGAGCCCCGGTACAGGGCTGAAGTGACCTTGTCCTCTCAGAGTCCCAGCTGCATGGAAGGGGGGCGCTGACTAATGATGACTCAGCCTGGACAGTCCCGACTTCCTCCTTCCTCAGACCACACTCCAGGGCCTCTGCCTGCCCCACCAGGGAGAAGAGCTCCCCAGCCCTAAGGAAAGGAATTGGCTAACAGGAGGCACGCCCAGCTCCTGAGACTTGTAGCCCAGCACGGAGAAAATGGCGAAGCCAGCCAGGATGCTGGTGACAGCGTTGCCTAGGGTGACGATGAAGGTGTCTCTACCAGGATTAGCCTAGTGAGCCACGGCTCCGGCCTGGATTACGTCTCATGAGAATGAGTTGCTATACTGCAATTGCAGCTTCTCAGCTTGCTTTCTTGTTTGTACTTTCACACACATGTGCCTACTACATCCTCCCAGTTATCCACCATTCACCACAGGTCACACAGAGGCAGCTACAGAATGATTTTGGACCTGCAGCCTCCTAAACTGTAAGATAAATAAACCTCCTGTATAGCAATACAAAATAATATTTTGTTGTAATACTACAGAGCAGACTGAAAAAACTACCTACCAAATACCCTTACTGTAGTCATCTATGTATCTAATTAAATAATCCACTTTATTAATGGAATGTTGGTTTATTGGATTATTGCTTCCTTTTCTTCATCACAATATGAGAGAAATGTAAAAAGTTCATAGAAAAATAGAATATAAAGATAACTGTATTTTGGTGGAAACCAATATCGATTTGTCAGTCACACGGTTCAAGGACTTTGTATTTTCCTAATCTTCCTGTTTCCTCATGGCAGCAACTTCTCACCACCTTTTGATGGATTCCCATTCTCCTCCTGATCTTTTACTATTAGAAATTTCAGTTTTTCCCGTCTGAGAACTCTATTTTGACTTTCTTATCTGAAAAGTCACCACTGTGGTCCTCCCTGTACCAAGCCCTTTTTTCCCCTGGAAAAAAAAAAATACTATATTACCAAAAAAGGCACTCTACACCTTTCTATTTAATTGCTACTGATATTATTGATTCATTTGTTTATCCATACAATTTGTTGCATTACTAGAGTGGGAATTTGGGGCTTTTGTTTGATTATTTTTCAAGTGCTCTGTATCAAACATCTAGCACAGTGCCTACCACACTACAAGCCCTCAAAAATATTTCCTGGCTAACTAACAATAATAGTTAATGAAACTAAAATACACAAAGCACTGTTAGCTTGTAAATCATAGATTGGATGTAGTCTGATTGACAAATGTATAGACTACATTTGGGTATAACTGGTAATGCAAATCAGGAGTTAGTACTTGGCTTTGTGAATGTTCTATTTAGCAAGCAAAACACACAGGCTTTATTTGTTTGCTTTACATTTCTTTTTCTTGCTCAGGATGGCTGGAACAATACAACATGTAAGAAGTTCTCTCAACAGGGTGCTCTTGGTAATAGGGAAAGAAAGGTAACTACTTGAAGCAACACAAAGCCAGTTTTTCTATGGATAATTTGGTGTTTGCATCTGCACAGCTAATAAAATGAGTAATAAATAATTTTATAAAATAACTCTGTAACTGATCATCTAAAGTGTTCTCACCTCTCACCTCTTCCTCTGGTAACATGAAACATTTAAAAACTTATTTGTAATAAAATGATTGCAACTACTGGTAGTAAATCAATTATTTATACTCTATCATGTTTTAACATATCTGAGAATAACTAGAGTACAATGGGCTATGGTGGATTTTCATCTTACATTTACTTTTAAAAATTCTAATAGGCTAGGGAAGCTATTTCTGAAATGTAAAGATTTAAACTTTTTAAACTACTAAATTTAGTATGATATTTTATATTCATTTAAACAGCACTATAAATTTTGAAAATTGAGGGAAAATCATAGCAAAATTTAAATATTTTTCTATTTCAAAAATGATTTTATATTTGTCATTATACACTCAATTTTGATGCTATTTGGACTTATCTTGAATTAAGCCTATCTGAAAATATACATTTTTACACATGAATTGTTCAGCTTTTCATTACTGCAACTAAAATACATGAGAGAAGCTACATAGCTACTTATGAAGTAAAAAGGCTTATTTCAGTGCAGTTTGGGTGGTCACAGACCAAGATTTTTCAGTCCCACCACTGTGGCATACAAAGAGGAAGATCAATGGCGGAATACACACAGGAAGATCACGTGGCAGCCAGAGAGTAGAGAGAGACAGAGAGTGTCCTCTGCAGAGGTTCTTGCCCTCCAAACCGTCATGATGCATTTGTGGAACTGCACATAGCAATCTAATTTCACTGAATCTCTTCCCAAAGGCCCTGCCTTGCAACCCAATAATTACTGAATTAAAATTTTAGGGTTTGAATACATGTATAAGGTGGGGAGTCAAATCATGCAAAAAAATATACCAATACTTTATTCAGTATAAAACATATGTAATTTGTTTTCGTGTTTGTAGTAAAAATAATGCACAAGTTGCTTCATATTCGCCTCATATAATTAATTCATTTTTAGTCTGGATAAATATACTCATATGTCTCCATTTGGGGCATTTTAAATAAAATACAAACTACATTACTATAATTTCTCTATAAAACTTGAGCTCTTTGCTTTTACTTTAATTCAGTATCTTAATACATTTTCTCATACCTTCACTCTAAGCACAGAAGCAAACATTCTTGCGTCTTCAGATACACCTCCAATGTAGAATTTCTTCTGAAACACTGGAGGATGATCATTTTCATCCTGAATCTCAATGTAGACTTTAGCTGTATTGCCTGGAACATAAAAAATGTTTTTCATTAGTTATTGTCAATTGAAAAGATGTACCAGGCAGGCTGGCGCCGCAGCTCACTAGGCTAACCCTCCACCTGTGGTGCCGGCACCCCTGGTTCTAGTCCCAGTCGGGGCGCCGGATTCTGTCCCAGTTGCTCCTCTTCCAGTCCAGCTCTCTGCTGTGGCCCAGGAAGGCAGTGGAGGATGGCCCAAGTGCTTGGGCCCTGCACCTGCATGGGAGACCAGGAGGAAGCACCTGGCTCCTGGCTTCAGATCAGCGCAGCATGCTGGCTGTAACGCGCTGGCCAGCCGGCCGTAGCGTCCACTTTGGGGGTGAACCAATGGAAGGAAGACCTTTCCCTCTGTCTCTCTCTCTCACTGTCTAACTCTGCCTGTCAAAAAACAAATGTACCAGGCAACAAACATTAAGCTTAATGACTGAGATGCCCGTGAATTGTATCAGTTTCTGAGTTGGAGTCCCACTGTCATTTCCAGCTTCTGGCTAATGTAGATTATGGGAGACAGGAAGTGAAGGTGAAGATGAAGATAATTGAGTTCCTGGCACTCATCTAAAAGACCCTACTGATGTCTGTGCTCCTGGCTTTGGCCTGGCTCAGCACTGCAAGTTGTGGGCATTGTGAGTCATCTAGAAGGGAGCTCTTTCAGTCTGTCTGTATCCTGTCTCTCAAATCAAGTTTTTAAAAAACACTGGAATAATTACCATATTTGAAAATAACAAAGGAAATAACTTCATCAGAATGTCATTTCTAAATGGATATTTAATACCCCAAAACTCATAAGACACTGATAATGGTGCTTCTGGTGTAATAATGCTACTCAGTGCTATTTCTTTTTTTTTAAAATTATAGTCTTGGTAATTGATTTTATTCATTTTAATAGGTACTAAAGAGTTGTGTTCTGTTAATTTAAATGAAACAGCTCCAGTCTAAGTCATAAACATTTCATACACATTATTAATTACACAAAAAGGAAACAAATAGTTGGGTATTAACTCCTTATGAAATAATAGAAACTGCCATAAACTAAAAAAACACTTTTCTCATCTTTATATATAAAACAATAAATTGTTTTCTCTTAACAAACTGTAATATTTTTGTTTTGATACTAAATGTAAGCAATGACAGTATAACACTGCTTCTGCAAAGGAAAATAAGTTTTATCATGCATTAGGGTCATCAATATTAGTGGTTAACATTTCTTGAAAAAATGCATTGTACCTGGAGAAATATTAATCATATCACTCACAAATGCAGCATTTTAACTTTTAAATTACATTAAATATACCATACAAAATACATTTCATCATCAAATGTTAGAATATCCTTCCCCAAATCATAACTTTAATGAGAAATATGGCACTTGTCACTAATCCAAGAATAATCTTTGTCAAAGAATCTGATATATTATATTTATATAATTTACAACCAGATTGCACAGGAAATAAGTGATTATTAATTTTGCAAAAAGTAGATTCAAATAAGTATTCCAAGGCATTACTAAAGTAAACTTTTCTGATGCGTTTCAACTATGATCAAATACAGGCACACACAACTAATCTCTAAGCTATTTTTCAGGGACTCTTATTTTGGCATTTTACTCTTGTTTCCATGGTTCCTCTCAAACTTATAATAATTCATACTAGCTAGTTACATAAGAGTTAATCATACGTTGCAAGATGTCTTTGTTGATTAAATAAATCAGAGATCAACTTTCCTCATCTTAGTAAGAATTCAGATCCAGGCTTTGTGCTTGCCCTGGGAAGGGTCAGAGAAAAGAAAGTTCACTTCAATGTGCTGCCCCTGCCTTGCTGCTACGGCTTTGCTTTCTCTCTTAATTTTCTCTTTCCTACTACAGTTGGAGGAGCTGGAATCCAGAGGAAAAACGCACAAGGTCCACAGAGACAGATGCTTGCAAGGAAGTGGAGCCATGACAGATGACGCTTCCCTATCCTTCAGCGCCAGGGCTCTGGCTTGTAACCCAACCATCACTAACCAAAATTCTTTCAAAATAAACCCATTTTTACCTTACCAGCAGATAATGTTTGCCACTGTAATCAAAAGCACTAACAACTCTACATTTAGTGTTTTTCTAAAAAAGAGAAATCCTAAACTAGACATACTTTCTAATCATTTATTTTCTCCTTTAGTCAGAAATATAGGAACTCCGTTCTGCTGTTCCTTTTCAGATCTCTAAGAATGAAAGAAGTCTCAGAAAATATACTGCTTAATGATGTCATCCTTTTTCTTTAAAAGGGGTGAGATATTTAAAATGTAGTACAACTTGCCAAGAGGAACAACCCAGCACCGTCTTCTTCATTACCTCCCAACCCTAACTTCATATCAGTTTGGTCATTACATCCTTTATTTCTCTCTCACTGTCAAGCATATATTTATTTGAAGAGAAGGAGGGAAAGAATAAGAGAAGCTGGAAAAGAGAGAGCAAGCTCTTCCAGCTATTGATTTAGTCCCCCCAAAACTCTCAAAAGCCAGGGCTTGGCCAGGAAAAATATCAGGAGACGAAAAATCAATCCTCAGCTTCCATGTGAATGGCAGGAACCCAGCTACTTGGGACATCAAAGTAACTCCCACAGTCTGCATTACCATGGAGCTGAAGTCAGCAGGTGGAACTGGATAGGGAACCAAAGCACTTTGACATGGGATGCAGGCATCTTAACCAGTAGGACAAAGGTCCACCCCTAGTGTTTATTTTTACCTACAGTCCTTACCACTATCTTAGACAACTGCAGTAGAATGTTTCTATCTTACTCTCCATAAATAATGATATGTTCCATATCCTGTTCTATATCACATTTTTATTAAGCAAAGATACAAACAAATATAAAAACCAATGAATCATTTTTAATGCTTTGCTTATGCTCTTGATAATTTCAACATAGTCAATCCCTTAGAATAACAAGTTTCAAAGTTTCATGAGCTCACAGTATACCACAAGAAATTTATTTTGCTTGTTTTGAATTTACTTATTTCCACTCTAAGAGATGCTCTTCAGTTGCCTAGTGTCAGGTTTGGTCAAAAAAATGCGAGAAAGCTTTAATACAATGCCTAATGTAGAGGATAAGGGATAAGAGAGAAAGGGCCTGAGAGAGGTGGAAAGCGTGGAACAATGGCTGGACCACTTCCTTCCAGTGGTAGTCTCATTTCTTTGGCCATCCATACCACTCTTCTTTGCTTACTTTTAATTTATAAGGAAAATACTAAGAAGAAGAGAATTAGAGCTCAAATTTTAAAAGATGATTCTATGCCACTAAAAATAATTTAGAAGTACTTCAGTAGTGTGCAGCACCTATGAGCCAGGCTGGTCAACTCCAGCAGGTGGCCACTGTTGTGAAGTTTTTTCAATTAACAACTAGAGTAGTGGGAAATGTAGATGCTTCCCCAACATCCTTTTGGGGGGTATTTGGCTTAATTATTTTTTTCTGTTTTTCTATTTCTTTTTCATTTTGAACAATATGTGGGTTACAGGAAGTATTTCTATTTGCTAACCTGTGCTTGAGTTCCACATGCCTTCAACTAAACTTTAGCACAATGAACTTTTTTTTTCTTTAAAAGAAAAAAATGAATATTTTAAAGCTGAAAATTATGTCCAAAGATGTACTGATTTCACATTGCACAACTTTTTTTTTGTTTATTATCAATAAGAAATCATTTCAATCCTGTATAAACAGTGAAAGGTAGAATTTATAGCATAGTAATAGATATTGATTTCTTTCCACTCATAACCCCTACTAATCTGGTAACACGTTCTGTGTTATTTTATAATTCAACAGTGATAATACAAATTACATCATCTTCTAAATGCTCACCAATAATTTGTTCTTGTGTTTTTCTAATGAAATAAGCTACAGAATATTCTGGTTAATACTTAAAATAAGAATGTAGTAGGCACAGTGTATTTAACCTTTAAATCATCAACTATGCAATTAAATTAAATAATGCTTTAAACGTTCATTATAATTACTAGCTCAGTGCACAATAATAGAAAACTTACTCTGTTTTAACCTATGAGCAAAATTTCAATTATGTCATATCTTAAGATTATTATAATAACTCAATGAAGTTCATCTTTAAAAACTGTATTTTAATGCCAAAGAAATCTACATTAGAATAAGCTTTTATGAGTTTATTGGTCTTTCGTTTTATTAGTTCATTAAATTTTGCCATCTCAAGAATCTATGGAGAGGTAAAAATACATATAATATTCACTTATTTTGTTCTAATTCCATTCAATAAATTGAATTCCAATAAGCTGGAATTTTCTTTGTGCTATTAAGGTGAATCTACATCATCTATAAACTTAATAAAACATATAAATTTCTTGGTCGATAGAACCTACAATCACTTAGCTGTGAAAATGCTCATTGATACAGTACTGTCAGACATTATGTAATGCTGAATTATATATCATTTCAGTGTCATCTGAAAAATCAGAGCTCTTCATACTTTTTATATTGTCAAATGGTTGGAATATTTCATCAGTTTAGTGATGTCTAACATAAAAATGTATATCGGGGTGTGTGCTTGGTCATGCTGCGTGTCAGAGTGTGAAAGTTTGAATCCTGGCTCTGCTCCCAATTCCAACTTCCTGTTAATGTGCTCCTGGGTGGCAGCAGCTGAGGGATGGCTAAGGTAGTTGGGTTCCTGCTCCTTTGTTAGGCCTTGCCCAGTCCTAACTGGTGCCGATATTTGGAGAATGAACCAGAATATGGGAGGTTGGTTTCTATCTATGTCTCTGTCTTTGTTCACCTCCAACCTACCTTTCAAATAAATGAAATAAATTAAAGTTTATTTCATAAAACAAAATGTACATCAATTTAGAAGTATCTGCCATTGTGCATTAACCCAATGTCACCTGAAAGAAAAGTTATTCAATTCCCTAGTGTCATCAAACATTTGTGAATTTTAAGTTAAGGATATTTGATCTTAGAGATATTACTGGGTATATAACACAAGATTCCAGAATA